TCCTACACTAACCGCCACATTTATTGCCTTTCTTTTCCTTCTTCACCTCTCACTCACCACCTCCCATCCCAATCAACAACAGGTACGCAAAAATATTACATCCTACTTTTTCTCATCACGAGGGTATTTTGGGAAACTCAATGCAAAACTATCTCTTTCTTCTAAATCATACTTCCTCAATTTGGAAAACTCTTTCCCTTTCATTTGTCCTCTTCTATCAAAACACTTCCATTTTCTATTAAAAAACTACTTTTACCTCTAGTTTTTTTTATCCTACCTATCAAATCATACTTTTTTCTCTAATAATTTATATCCATCACATCTTACTTTTAAACATACATCACATAATCAAGGACAAAACTGAAAGCCAACTACAATTTTACACTTCTTTATTTTGGGACTTGGTCAAAATAAGAAGTGTTTTCAAGAACGGAGGGAGTACAAAAGTCCAAATAAGGAGATTTAGGAACGGAAGGAGTACGGAGTAGCATATTTTATGATGTACTCCGTAATAGGTTGGATAAAAGTTACTCTGTACTAAGGATAAACAAACTTTTTAATGGAAAACAAAAGTGTTTATGAGAAGAGTGAAAAGTGAAGGTAGAATTATTGTTATTTTTATGTGAATAGAGGGAGATATATAATTTCCAATAATGTACCTAGCTAATTTATTTACGTAAGTAAACGATTAGTGAGTAATGCAGTAATTAATTTGCATGTGTTACGTTACGTTATTTGTTGCATGCATGCATATATATGCAGCGGTATGTGGTATACATGGGAGAGCACAGTGGAGAGAAAAGAAGTGAGGGAGAGATAGAAGAGACGCACCATTGGTATCTGCACCAAGTTATGCCCTCCAAACATGAAGTTAAGTCTTCCATCGTACACAGCTACAAGAATGTCATCAATGGCTTCTCCGCTTTCCTCCGCCCCGACCAAGCCGCCACTATTGCTGGTAATAATGTTTATATACGAGTAGTTAAAACAAGAACCATTTTGGTAAAATTGGAAAGTCAACTACAAATATATACTCTTTATTTCTCTCATTCGTTAAAATAAGAACCATTTTGGCGAACAAAGAGAATATATTTTAGGTGGGATAAAAGTATTTTGTGGGATACGCAAAATATTAGGATAGAGCTATTTTTCCGAAACAAGATAATAGTAAATGTTTTGCTTTGGAATCTTGAAATTAGTTTAGAAGAAAAAAATATTTTAAAGCAAACACACACCCCCTCTATTTCATAGATTTTTTTTATGAGTTTTTTTGCACTGTTTATCCCCCAACTCTTTAAAAATTTGCACAGATTCTCTCTAACTTTAAAAATCGTAACACTTTGACCATTATTATCTTTACTCCCCATATATAAATATATATTATAAAAATAAAACATTTTAAAACTATGTTTCAAAATGAATCGATATTAATTAAATTTATATAAAAATTTAATTTGTTTTTTCCATAACATGCAACCAAAGTTCAAAAAATCAAACCATAAAGTTAATTTCAGGACGGAAAGAGCGCTGATAATGACATATAAACAGGGATGGAGGGCGTGATCTCAGTGTTCCCCGTGAAGACATTAAAGCTCCACACGACAAGGTCATGGGACTTCGTCCATCTTCTCGAAACAAAACCCAAAGGAAACCCAAATCTCCATCAATCATCGACCACACCAAATTTACTCCAGGGAGCCCCCGGGAAGGGGGATGATGTCATCGTTGGCGTCATTGACACCGGTGATTTTGACGACTACTGTTTATATTTCTTTTATCAGATACCAAATTCACTACAAAAAAAAACAATGTTTTTGTGGATCAAATTTTGTCACGAATATTGTTTTGTAACGGGATATTTGTGTCAAATTATAAAATCTCTCACAAATATCTCGTTAGAAAAAGTACTTGTGGCAAAATATAATGGCACAAAAACTTAATTCTTTTGTAGTGATAGAATTAGCTAATTAGGCATATTATGAATTAATTAGTTAACGATATTGCACTGCTTGTTGTAAACTATAAGGGGTATGGCCAGAGTCTCTTAGTTTCAGAGATGAAGGGATGGGACCGGTTCCGGCGTCATGGAAAGGGGCTTGCGAAGTAGGAGCTGCGTTCAATACTACCTCCTGCAATAGGTAATTATCGATTTATATATTCCCATCCTCTCGTCTGATTTTTTGAAGATTTAGTCTGATGTGCTACTATAATATGATTGTCTTTATATTTAAATGTATTTCTGATCTGATTTGATTGGAACTGATTAATTCTGATCTGGTCTGATCGAATCTTATTTCAATAACAATAATTATAAGTAATAAGTTGAAAAAATAACTTGAACGTGACAGACCTTTATTTAGTCTGGTCCCATTTTTACAATTTCTTACCTAAATAATGCTTCATTCCTCTCAAATAAGGCTCTTGTTCAATTTACAAAATTAGCCCAAAATTATTTTCAAATTAATATAAATAAAAAATTTATGTAGTCGTGACAAAGTTATTTTATTTTATACAAAGATCAATAAAAATTTATAAAGAAAATATAATTAGTTAAAACGAAGAGGGCATAAAAATAACATTTGTTTTATTTGGGTAATTTTGGAAAGGAAAATAATTGGAGCGAGGTATCACGTCAAGGGGGTGGAGGCACAGTTGGGTACATTGAACAAGACGTTAGACTTCCGTTCACCGAGAGATATTGACGGCCATGGAACTCACACCTCATCCACCATCCTAGGTCAGAGAGTTGCCGGAGCATCCGCCTACGGGGGATTTGGCAGCGGCACCGCCACCGGCGGGGCACCGCAAGCGCGTCTGGCAGTCTACAAAGCTTGTTGGACTGTGAGCAGCGGCAGCGAAGTGACGAGCGGTGTTTGTTTCGACGACGACATTTTGGCGGCATTCGACGCCGCCATCGGGGACGGGGTTCACGTGATTAGCGTATCCCTCGGCGGAGCAAACGAAAACGAAAAGGGGTACTTCACGGAGGACTCAGTCGCGATCGGAGCATTGCACGCCGCGAAGAGGAACATTACCGTCGTCTGCAGCGGCGGCAATGATGGCCCGGGCCCTGAGACGGTGGCGAATGTCGCCCCTTGGATCTTGACCGTCGCTGCCAGCAGTACGGATCGACTCTTTTCTGCACCTCTTCTACTCGGAAATGGCGTAACAGTCAAGGTAATGACTAATGAGAAAAACACATCCATGCATCTTCACCCATTAATATATCTATTTATATATTGATACACCAAGGTTCAAGTGACATTGAACCTTGATGTCATGGGATGACCCGGGGGCGCTCCGGTGCCCCGTTCGTAAAATTGACGGTTCCTACCCCCTAACCCCCCGGTAAACCTCCCCACCCGGCCCCGGCCCGAACACACCCCCCACCCCCTTCAATTGCACCCCACAAGTTGATTTTGGTTAGGAGGGGTCGGAACCGTCAATTTTACGAACGGTGCACCGGAGCGCCCCTGGGTCATCCCATGACATTAAGATTCAATGTCACTTGAACCTTCCCCATATTGATATACATATTATCAAAAATATACTCCGTAATATTTTTTAGAGTATATACAAGCCTTTCTTGGAGGTTTCACATGCAAGGTTCAAAGAAGTCACATCTGCACATGAGAAAGTGTGTTAGAGTATATATACAAACCTTTCTTAGGCCACAAGCTTTTGGTTAAGTTGGTTCTTTGACAATTTTAAAACGACATTTCAAAATTAATCTATTTCACATACATGTTGAGTTGTTATAATGCATTGTTAATATGACATCAAAAGTTGTTTTGTTTTGAACAACGACAGGGGGAAAGCATAACTCCCGTCGAGAAATTAGGAAACACGGCACTGCCGCTGGTCTATGCAGGAGATGTAGAGATCCCCGGTTCAACCAATCGTTCAGGGTGAGTTAGGCCTTGTTTGAAGAGAGGGTTTCAATTAGTATTTTAGATTATTTTTAATGATATACATGTTTTGGAAGGATTTTTAATGATACACATTAATTTTGTAAAAATATCATATCTAAACACTACCATTATATAACATTTTCTAAAGGGTAAAGTTAAATACATAGGTTGCTGGCAAATGGACACTTAGCTTGATAGACGAAATATTTTCGTTTCTTATCGAAATAAGAGTAATAATATTATGGTATGTTTGGAAACATGGATTTGGATTTCAAATTCGGATTTGGCTCAAATTCCATGTTTGGGAAACTTAAAAATTTTAAATTTGGATTTGAGTCAAATTCTTCTCATTCATAACAAAGCCTAATTTGAAATACATGCACATCTCCTTGTCATTTGAAATTCAAGATTTCAAATTTTGGAATTAAAGTGCATGAATTGAAATGAAATGCTAGTTGCCAAACACTACCTTACAGAATTTAATAAAAGTATTGAAAAGTGAAAAGTAAAAAGTCTATGAACAGCATATTTTTTTATATTATTAGAAGAGTAAAGAAATATGAATATGTTCTTAAAATAAATTAAAAAAAAGAAAATGAGGCAATTAACTCAAAACACGTAAGGAGTACATACCCGGCATTAAATTGTATTGGAGGGATACAGGTTTTGCATGCCCAACACACTTACACCAGAGAAGGTGAAAGGGAAAGCAGTGTTTTGCCTCAAGGGATACACCGATCAGTCCTTGGAAGTGAAAAGAGCTGGTGGTGCCGCCGCCGTACTAGGGTTTCCGGTGGCCCAACCACTTCTTGGCACCATGTTGCTTCCAGCAACAACCGTCTATTATCCAAACGCGACAGATGTCATTCTCAAATACATCAAGACCGACAAGAAACCCGTTGTGAAGCTGATCCCTGGAACCACTGAATTTGGCACTAAACCTTCCCCGACAATGGCTTACTTTTCCTCATTAGGCCCAAGTAATATTGAGCCTAACATCCTAAAGGTATATTGTGTGTTGACATTTACTCCGTAATATAATAACGTTTTTTCCCACATTATTTGTCATTATATGTCCTATTTTATTTTGATTTGATAAAAAGTTTATTGCACCGATACCCCATGTGATTTGTTATATATGCTGTGTTGCACATGTTGCAGCCTGATATCACAGCACCAGGGCTAAACATTCTAGCAGCATGGAGTGAGGCTTCATCGCCAACAGAGTTACCTGAAGATCCTCGCAGAGTGAAAAATAACATCATATCTGGAACCTCAATGTCATGCCCTCACGTCTCTGGTGCCGTTGCCCTTCTTAAAGCCATACATCCCCAGTGGAGTGCTGCTGCAATTAAATCTGCTCTCATGACCACAGGTATGTGTGTGTGTGTGTGTTAGACCAGATCGATGTCACATTGCATAAGATAAAGTAGAATACATAAAATTATACGGAGTATGTTAGATAAGAAATTACGGGCCGGTTCTATCTTTGAGTAGCCACAAAGGACACTGGACACAAACAGTGCTCCGCTCGTAAAATTTTGACTCCAAAGTCAACTAAGATTGCGGGGTGCAATTGACGTGGGTGGGGGATGGATTGAGGTCGGGACTGGATGGGGCAATTTACCGGGAGGTTAGGGGGTATATGAACTATCAATTTTACGAACGGAGTGTCGTAGGTGTCCCAATTGGGACAGTGTCCTCTGTGGCAACTCAAAGAGAGTGGCCAGAGAACCTAGCTGAATAAACTAAAAATCTCAATATTATTGTCTACCATACCTTTTTCAGCTACAACTGAGAATCTCCGAGGGGGACCAATAGAGGACGCATATGGAGACGTGGCAACTCCATTCCATTATGGAGGAGGCCATATGCGGCCATCCAAAGCAGCCGATCCTGGGCTCGTGTACGACGCAGCATACACGGATTATCTTAGCTTTATTTGCACTGTCAATGGCACTTCACTAGACCGCTCTTTCAAATGCCCCAAGAACCCTCTATCCGTAAGTGATCTCAACTATCCGTCGCTCGCAATAGCCAACCTCAAAGGTTCCGTAGTGGTGAAAAGAACAGTTACAAATGTGGGCTCACCCAAGGCTACTTATAAGGTGGAAGTGAAAGCCCCAACCAGTTACTCCGTCAACGTTACTCCACCAATCCTGACATTCAAAGGAGTTGGAGAAAAACAGAGTTTCAGCATAAGTGTTAAGGCTGAAAACACCAAGAAAAGAAAGGTGTCTACTAACGAATTTGGCTGGTACAAATGGAGCGATGGCAACCACGTGGTCACAAGTCCAATTGTCATCTCAGCCCCGCCTAAAAAGATAGCCAACTTAGTCTCCTCCAGCACTGGTTTCGTATCCGCCGCGTGATTGCTCGACTTCCATTGATTTCATTCAACAAAGTAGCTGTTAGGTCATTTGAACGCCTTTTATTTGGATATCCTCAGTTTAAACATTACATTAATAGGAGAAGCAGTTGCACATGAAATGTGCTATCAATGATAAGCATGGGGAAATGTACTATCAATAATAAGTTCTAGATATACAAATTGACTCCATTGATCCGTTTTGTTTATTTTTATGTCTTTGGCATAAGTTCTAGTGCTCTCCAAACACAACTCTCCATGGAGAAAAGATTTTATTTTTGTGACGGCTGGCTCAATCACTTATGTTGCCCAAATCTCATTAGAAGCCGCTACAAAGAAGACCGCTTCATTTGAATTGAGATATTAAAGTTTTAAAAATCACAATTTCTCAAAAAAACTACTAAGTCTCTGTTTGGCAAAGTACGATGACAAGTAGGCGATAAGTGATTAGAAAAGCAAAATACGATGACAAGTAGGCGATAAGTGATTAGAAAACTTTTAACTTACGGCCTATGCCTTATAGCCTAGCTAATCTCATAGATTGTTTGGTAAAAACGAGTATGTCCAAATTTTTATCTCCCCACTTCCCATCAATGAAAGGACACTTTACCCCTCAACTACCCACATTAGTTATACTTTATACCTTATCATGGGAAGTTCATTTTCTGACGGAGGGAGTAGGAGATAAGCTAGTTTAAAATATACTCCGTAAATGTGTGTACAATAATTTTAGAAGTAAAAATGAGGTTTAAAATGGAACTACATACAATAACTCATTAGCTTATTTGAAAAGGTATTCCATGGAGCTTGTTAAATAAGCTCCGGCCTATGAAATTAGTTACCTCAACAAAACAAAGCATATTTGAAGAGCTTTCTTTTAAAAGCCAACATCAAGCTTATATTGTGCCAATAATAGCGTAAAAGCATGAATTTGGATGGACTAAATGAGAGCAAGAGGTGATTGAAATTACAAATGTATACCCAAAATGTAACGTGTAGCATCAATATAATGAATCTCCCATCCAAAAAAAAACATTTGCATGCATTGGATTCTTCTTCTTCTTCTCTGTGTACGGGAAAAAGGAAGATTAAATTCCACATGCAGTCCCAAAATTTTCAAAAGAGAAAAACTAACTCTTTCCTAGTTTACTAGCAGTAAGTTTGATTTTCCTTACTTGGTGAGTTGGCCGCGAACTAAGTCCTGATGCATCACTAGAATATTTATGTGCATAAAAGCAGTACTGTGTCAAAAAATCATTAAATTCCCGAACACCAATAGCTTGTCGAAAGCCTTTTGTGTAGTCTGCATCTGTCTGGTAAATGTCAAAAACTTCTTCAAGCAGACCAGATTCAATCATGTGATCAACCCTTTTATCAACAAAAAGGTCCAATGCTGATAGAGATGCATCCACACATATAAAATAGATGTTAAATCTTGAATTATCAACATGACCCCAGTTCTGTCCTGCCAGGTTCAAGATATAACACCATGAGCATGATATAGAATCTCATATCATTTCATTCTATTCATAACAGTTGGTATGTCATTGAATGTGCTTCCAAAGTAATTTGATACTCACCCAAAGACAAACAATAAGAAGAGTGTATAGGGGAGTAAAACAAAATGAATCTGAAAATCATTCTTCAGGTAAAAAATGATCAAAAAATTGATAACCAAAAATGAATTAAATGGGATCAGAACAATGGAACCACGTTTCCAGAAAATAAAAAATGAAAAAAATTAAAAGTGCACTTGAAAAAAAGAAGGAAAGAATCAGGAACAAGAACATTGAAATGAAACAAACGCACTGCAAAAAGAGGGATGCAGGACAGTAAATGGATTTAAAAACCGCTCTGTAATTCGATTTGAACAAAAACTGGAATTGAATCCGACAGAGGAGAACTCTCCCGGGGTCGATGCAGTGGTTGAGCCAAAACCGTGAAAGCAATTACTAGTACCAAACAAGCATTAAAATTGAAATGAAAGTGAAACAAAAACAGTGGACGATGGAGGTGTTTCAATTGAAATGAAGGCGGTATTGAGATGCAAAATTGAAATTGAATTAAGGTTGGGAGCTCGTGTCATACCTTTATTCCTCCAGAGGAGAGCTCTCTCGCCGTAGCCGAGGTGATGATTCAGAGGTGTCGCCTCTAGTCGTCGGTAGTGCATAAGCGCCGTCGCCGGCTTGGAGTTGCTTTGAAGGTGAGGAGGAAATAAAACAGGACTAGGGTGCCACCACCCAATGTTACACCGAATGTTACAGACAAACACAAACACAGACGAAAGTAGAAAGAATGAAAAAGTGAAGCTACAGTACATCCACTTTACCCAACTTGTGAAATTTTTAGTGGTAAAAATGGCGCCTCTTTTTCCACTTTTGCTATATGAGGAAAGTCTTCTTCTTCCTTTATCCAACCGCCACTTTTTATTTCAAAAAACACAGGTTGTTTCGAAAAGTTCTGCTGCAAATGTCTTCTTCTTTGCTCTGTACACAGTAAGTGATATCCACTGCAACTGATTCTATGCTCTCTTTACTTTGCACCCAAATCCATGTCATCTTCCACCATCATTCTACCTTCACCACCTGTGTTAGAAACACAAGATAAAACACAAAATCAGTGTAATGAAGAAAATCCTAGGATTGATAAGTGTACACACAAACTATCAGATGAAAGTAGGGCCTTAATCCTACAAACCCTTCTCCAACACTTAAAGAATGGAAAACCTGGTAGAGGTGTGATGAAACAACTAGCTCAGGAATACAAAATCACTTCAAAGACAATTCAGAGGTTGTGGGCACAAGCTAAACAACAAATGAAAGATGGCTTAAGTATACATGTTGTTGGTCGAATGAAGGGGAAATCATGTGGGAGGGAAGGTCCCAGTTTACCCGTGCATATGGTCTCAGCTGTGTCCCCCACTAAAAGAAAAACCATAAGAACATTGGCAAGGGCAGTTTGTGTGTCAAAGAGTAGCATACACCTATTGGTTAATAAAGGAAAACTCAGGGCTCACACAAATCCAATCAAGCCTCACTTGACAGAAGAAAATAAAGTAAGGAGATTGGATTTCTGCCTGAGTAAACTGCAAACAAATCCACAGTTCAATGACTTATATGAATATGTTCATGTGGATGAGAAGTGGTTTGAAATGACACAGACTACACAGAGAATGTACTCGCATGAAGATGATCAAAGAGAGTAATTTGCATAGAACTATTCAGTCCAAGAAACATATCACAAAAGTACTATTCTTGGCTGCATCAGCAAGGCCAAGATTTGATGAAGATGGTCAAGTATTATTCGATGGGAAGATTGGGATCTTCCCATTTGTATTCACAGAACCTGCACGGAGGAATAGCAGAAATAGACCCAGGGGCACATTAGTAACCAAACCAATACCAATAGTAAACAAAGACGTGTACATGAGATTCTTAATCAACAAAGTAATTCTAGCAATCAAGGAAAAGTGGCCAGCTGATTCAAGCAGAAGAGTTATCATTCAACAAGACAATGCCAAGCACACATAGCATGTAATGATCCTAGCTTTCTCCAAATAGCCAACACTAATGGTTTTGACATTTTACTAACATTTCAACCACCAAACAGTCCTGATCTAAATGTGTTAGACCTTGGCTACTTGGAATCCAGTCACTACAACAAGAAAAAAGGTGCAAAACCATTGATGAGCTTGTCCATTTTTGGGAATTAAAAAACAAAACACTATAACACAAATATGGAATTAAAAAAAGGAAAACGATATAAAGAAACCTCTGCTTTTGATTTCCTTTTTAAATTCTTACCATATTTTTCATATATTTCCTACTTTGATTACTTTATTACATTTATTCACAAATTTTATATCCGATTTTTATTTCATTTGTTACAATAGTTTTTATATTTAATAATAATTGTTAGACAATGCGTGCAACTCTAGAGGGGGTGAATAGAGTTGTTGAGAATGATTACCATTTTTCGCAGGATTAAAAATATAAACGTAAGTGCAGCGGAAATAAAAGAGAGAAGGCAAAGAACCAGGGGCGGAGGAGAGGGGTGCTGCCTGGGCAAGTGCCCCCCGGCAAATTTCCGGCGAAGTAGTATTAGGGTACCCCTTCTCCGATGGTAGGCTTGATGTGCCCCTCCAGTTTTTCCGGCAACTCCCGGTGCGGTGTCCAGTGTGGTGGCTGTGCAGGGAAGAAGAAGGACAGGAGGTGTACAGGTACTAATTTGCAATTTCCGAAAAAAGAAGATGAAAGGGCTTAATGCTTAAACGACGTCGTAGCTGTACTTTTTTTAAAAATATTTGAGACTCTAAGTCTTTGACCAAATGGACGGCTGCCCATTCCCCATTTTTTGTTCCGATCTACTTTCTCAAAAAAATAAAAATAAAAAAAATAAACCCACTAACCTCGTAAAGGGCTAAAGGCAGTAACCTTGAGTTCCTGACTCTCTCTATTCTCTCATCTAAATCTTTGCGGCAAAACAAAAAAAAAGGTCAACCATCTTCACTTTTGAGTTCTTTTTCTTCAAATCTTCATCTTCTTCACGGTTTTTCTTCTTACATTCTCGATTACTTTTTCATTATCTAGCTATATTCAATTTCCAATTATTCAATTTAGATATTTGTTTGTTAATTTTTAAATTTTTGAATATTGTTAATTTATTTTTCGAATACTTTAATTTGTTCCCTTGTTCTAATTTTCAGGCAGATTCCTAATTTTTTATTGATATTTAAATATTTGTTAAATGTTAATGTATATTCATTTTGTTATTTTATTATTTAATTAGGTAATCTTAAGACCTGAGATGAATAAATTTGTTATTAGAGAAAAGAAGAATTTAGTATTTGTAAATGATAAAGGCAAGGAAAAAGAAGTATCTTCTTCTCTAGAGAAAGAAAGTGTGATTTCAAATGATGATATTTGATAGAATATAGACAAACAATATATTTCACACACAGAGAATGAATACAATCCAGAGTATTTATAGGAGTAAGTCCTATATAGACTAGGAATAGGAAAATAGAAGGTGACTAGGATACAACAACTATGATAACTAAAACAACCACAACTAGGAGTCCTATGACTATCTAACATCCCCCCTCAAACTGAACTTCGTGTCACGAGTGGAAGTTTGGACACAAGATGTTGAAACCGCGGCTTGGTTAGTGGTTTAGTGAGCAAGTCAGCAAGCTGATCTTCAGAGAATACATGTGAGACGTTCATGGTGCCTGCAATAACCTGTTCTCGAACAAAGTGACAATCAGTTCCCACATGCTTCATGCGTTT